GTACTGTTTATTTAGTATGTAGTTCTAACTTTTGTGTCTGTGGATGAAATCCTATGGTGTTACCATTCAAATGAAACCTCTTCAGCAGTACTTTCACATGGTACTATTTATTTAGTATGTAATTCTAACTTTTGATTCTTTGGACCAAATCCTATATCGTGTTACCATTCAAATGAAACCTATTCAGCAGTACTTTCACATGGTACTGTTTACAATGTATTTAGTATGTAGTTCTATTTTTTGATGCTTTGGACGAAATTCTATGGTGTGACCATTGAAAAAAAACCTCTTTGGCAGTAATTTCATGTGGTACTATTTGCTTTATATTTCAACATTAAACAAATTAAAATTTGGTAATTTTGTTGAATTTTAAATATGATCACTTTTGGGAGTGAAAAAGTTAAACTGATCCAATGGTCGCACACCTTTTCTATGACTTTTTCAGGGACAGCTTCAGTCATCGGAGTTTCAATGAAACCAGGTAGAACGGCATTACATCTAACACCAAACCTGAGACACACGAGGCAAAGGCAGTGTAAATTGTTAGCAATTTGTTAAAATTACATCAGTTGATAAGAGCACTTTGAAAAACAAAAATAGTATTATTTTTTCTTTAATACACGCAAGTAACATTTACTGTCTAACCCAGAGAACAGTGAACACTTGCAATATTGCAGGAATGTTTATTGTACTGTAACCAATCACAATATGATCAGGAGATGCAAACAGGCTACAAGACCACACACTAATTACCGTTTCTACTTGCAGCTAAAGTTTTCTCATGCCTGATTGGGTTTTCCTTGCAACACAAAAGCAGTCCAGAAATAATTTCAGGTGTTCATGGTTCCCTGAATTTCACAGCAAACTATTAATTTATGCCACTGACTTATTGTGGAATTCACATTCTGGTCAAGCTTAATTAATCTTCATGGCTAGTTAGGAGAATACATCCACACTCCCAAAGAAGAAAATACTTAGAAGAGGCAATGTCCCTGGGAACCTAAACTGCAAAGTTAAAAACCATTGGCAAAATCAATGCAACTCTTGTCATCCAGTAAATAATTAAAACTTAGGGCACTACAGGCTGGTACAGTGTAGAAAGCAAAACATACAAATACTCTCCTTTCTGCAACTTTCCTGCTACCCACCCAAAATCGATATGAACTATGAGACACATACTTAGCAAGTTCTTTGGCACATGACCTAGTGAGTCCCTCGACACCAGCTTTAGAAGCAGCATAGTTAACCTGACCAAGATTTCCAACCTAGTATTGTAAAGGAAGAATGTTTTCAAAGACATGATCATATTGATGCAGTTGTAGGATAAGTTGAAGACTGGAGTTTTGGGTTACTTATGGTGGAATTGTGGTCATTTTGCTCAAAAGTCACCTTGCATGACAGCATTTTGCCCACTTACCTGGACTCCACGTAGCTTTTTTTTGTTATGGTTGCAGAAAAAAGGCCAGCAGTCTGAACTTAGCAATATGGCAATGATCATATGGAAAATATCCACAAGACAGAACTGAAGTCTACCTCAGCAATATTATTGTGAGGATCATTGTGTTGATCATTGAGAGAGATTGTGTTAAATGTTTACCAGAAAAAGCTGTTAATCCACATAGCTGTAAAGTCACTGTCTTTCCATCCTGTGACAAATACATATTGCAAACACATTACAGAAACGCGCCCATTGAAAAACGTCGCCCGTGAAAAGTGGGGTACCCATTAGGCTTTGCGAGCAAAAACGAGGTTTCAAAGACTACCGTCGTTTTCGGTCTCTTATGAACTTCATAGCCCTTAACTATTCTCACACTTTCAAGAGACAATGCAGAAACAATAGAAGTAGGTTGCCATTGTTTTAAGTGTTGGAATGTCTTTGTCATTGCTACAAAGAAGAAAATGTTTAATATGCAAAGAGAAGCATTTTTTCTTCCTCGTGCACTAACATAAAACCCTCGCGAATTCGGTAGTCTCGTGCGAATTGTTTCGATGGCAAAACAGTTAAAGCATAGTTAATTGAGTGGAATGGTTATGAAACCCGTCAGACTCCTTTGTTATATGTTTTTGTGGACCTGAAAGTGCACAACGTTCAAAAGAATTCCTATCATTTAGATTGTATTGACCAATAAAAACGTTGCATTAATTTATTCCGTAACAATTTGCCAACAGAAAACAAAGGATTGTGCACTTTCACGGTGCTTTGAACATAAACTGCAGCACTGTTGTTTTTATCATTGATGTTTGCCGCTTTTCATAACCAGTCTCCTCTAATAACTATGGTTAAAGCTAATCAGAAACCAAAGTATTCTTCACTTAAAAACTCATCTTCACGAAAATCACTCGATAAGATTGCATAAAAATGTTTGCAGCGTTTATAAATATTATCAGAAGCGGTATTGTAGTTGTTTTCCAGAGACGGATTAGATCGCTGTTTAGGTTTGGTCATTAAATATGTAGTTATAGCGTTCTTAAAGAAAGTATCGCTCTTAATTTTGCCTTATACTGTGCTAAAATCAATATCTTAAATGAAGAATGTAAGTGAGAGTGCTTTTTCGTCGAATTTGCCCGTAAATTTTAAGGTTTATAATATTATCTAAAACCCTCGACAAAATGTAAACAAACTATTAACGCATCGCCGGCGGGGTGGGTAGAAAACGAAGACCTAAGACCTAAGACCCAAAAACGAAGACCCCCTCAAAATCACTTATAAATATCTAGAAACGGGTATCTCGACCTTAGATGTGTAAGAAACAACAATATCTTCAATTATACAAAATTTCGACCAGGGTCTTCGTTTTCTACACAAATCCCCCCGGTGTGTAGAAAACGAAGACCCCTCTCAAAATCACTTGCAAACGGAGGGAAACTGCTTTTAACGACTTCTAGACACTAAAGGAGTGTAAGAAACAACACGGCTCCTTACGATTTCCAATTACACAAAATTTCGACCAGGGTCTTCGTTTTCTACACAATCCCCCCGGTGTGTAGAAAACGAAGACCCCCCTCAAAATCACTTGGAAACGGCTGGAAACTACTTTTAACGACTTCTAGACACTAAATGAGTGTAAGAAACAACACGGCTCCTGACGATTTCCAATTACACGGAATTTCGATCAAGGTCTTCACCGAGTTTTCTGCGGAATCATCCTTTGCTGTAAAGTGTTCGAAGTCATGTCTTCCGTGATCGCCATCAAAATGCCCCACTCCATTACATTAAATAACCATGTCACTTGGACATGTTAATCATGCTTAGCCTTGTTTCTATCAGCGTCAACATTTTTACCTGAAAAATACGAGTCTTCATTCTCTGCTCGCAGTGACGTCTTTATTACTGACGACAGAAACGTTTCCGACATGTTTATATTACGACCAGTTTGCGCGTAAACCAGAAAACACATTTTGTGTGAATATTCTTTGTTCTTTGAGCCAAGTATTTTGTACGTTAAATTATATTACAAGTTCACTCAATAATAACTTTGCACCGGAAAAAACGGTAACCCACGTAAGTACCTGTTGTATTGCAGACTCTTAATGAAAATCACACACACTCCAGTCACTTATTTCAGTGTCCTTCGGAAAATGCCTGCACAGAAGAGAAACGCTTCCCCAATAAAATTCTAGACTATTCGGAGCTCTTGAGTTATACTCTAAACATCACAGAGGGGGAATGTGAGAAACTGCAACGAGTGCCGCAAGCGCAAGGGAGCGTTGTCTCAGGGAAAAGAAAGGTCTTATATCTTCTCCTCATTAAACCCGCTTACTACGGACCCTTTCTATGGTCTCCTAATTATAAGTGTCTGTATTAACGGGGTTTACTGTACCACGAGTTTAATGAGTATTATAATGATGAATTCTACAAAGTAAAACTAACATGAAACAGAAACACTTTCCATACAAAAGTCAATATGTATTTAATTAGGAAAATATTACATACATTGTAAGATATGGATTTCGGATTTGTTCTGACATTAAATAATCACGTCACTCTGGAGATCTTAATGTTGTCATGGGTTTAATGCCCAGCCTTGTTTCTATAAACGTCAACATTTTCATCTGAAAAATACGAGTCTTCCAGTCGCTGCTTACAGTCACGTCTTTATTACTGACTATAGAAACCTCAAGCAACCACAACAAGAACGTTAACAAAACATGAACAAACAATCTTGATAACAATCACTCATTCATTTATCTACAGTGGAACCTCGATTTAACGAACCTCTATATAACAAACGATTTTCTTCAGCCCGGCAAATATTATAGTAAAATGTATGGAACAGAACCTCGATTTAACGAAATCGTCCTTATCATTACAACGAACACAATCCAGAATCCTAATGGTAAGCTTTACCTCGATATAACGAATAAATGAATAAATGTTAACATATGATAAAGAAGAAAGCCAAATAGACCAACAAAGATAAAATTTATGCGTATAGCAGTTTTAAGCAGTTTTGTTTGCCTTTTCTTGAGTTTCTAGTGCCGTATAGCTTGATTGATTGATTTCCGAAAATTCGTTAAATCGAGGTTTTCGATTTAATTTTTAACAAACAAACAGATACCGTATTAATTCGAGCAAACGACGCCCTCGAATAAACGCCGCACCTATTCAAAAGAATGAGGTCAATAAGAAAAAGCTCGGTACAACTTGATAATTTACACCATCCATACATTTACGATCCTATCTCAGCAAAATGAGGGAGACATTGGTGAACCTTTAAATTACATAATATTTACAAACGATGTACACTAACAGTTGTCAATGATTTTTAAAAAACGATTTAGAAATAAAAGGCTCCCTCGAATAAACGCCGCATTGGAAATGCGGAGAAACCAGAGTTTCATTCAGGGCACTGCTCCAGATCGGAGGGATATATTTTTTCATACCTACAAGAAAGTAAAATTTCTCGTGAAACGTTTTTCTTTGCCTGTGGAAGTTAAAATTTCAAACAAGAAAGGAGTTACATTATGGCCACTCACAAAAAATGTTCTGACTGTTTGAATTATACGACAGCGTCTTGAAACTCGCTCCTGAGATACTTCCTGTGCGATTCACTCAAAGAATCAGCGACATGGGACGGAATTTCAACATATTCCCAATTGAAATAGGGGAATCTCTTAAGGATGCATTTCTTTGCAGTATGATAAAAGCGATTGGTCTCCTTCTTTGACGCTTTCGCTTTCGACCAATCACCATCAACAGGATACAACCAGCGTTCTTTGTGGGCAAACACCATGTTGAATGGGATGACTTGCTTGCGTTGACAGAACTCGATTTCGCATGATTTGCACGTCCTGGCTTCTTGTGGCAGGAACATCAAAACAAACTGATTTTCGTTATGATGGATTTCAGTGAATGTCTGCCTTGCTTGATTACTTGGTTCTACTCCACTGCTACAATATCTTTCCGGCCTATACGAGTTTTTATTTCTAGCCCCTTTCTTTCCTGCGGTATTCTTGTTGACATCGTACTCTGCAAGGGCCGTGCGGCTTCCTTTCTTTGATTTCTTCTTGAGGAAATTAAAGTGGGTGGAGAGAATGGACTGACGTGCAGCCACAGCAATAGAGTGTTTACATATGTTGTCATGTCGATACCTGCCACAAACACATCCTACGTGATCCCTGTAAACAGTCACCAGAACACTTCCATTCCTAGCACTTGGACTAGCTACTTCAAACTTTAGGTTTTCTTTCGTGGCCAGTGAGGCTTTGGGCTGAATGGCTGTTGGGTGGTTGACTAAGTTTAGTACCTCTCGCTTTATTGCTATGGAGTTGTCTGCAGAGTAACCGAAGTGATCTGAAAGGATGCCAGCAACGTCTACTTCAAGGTCCCTAAATTCGAAGCGATCCTCGCTCATGTTGTCACTTGGCCAGGGGACATCTTTCTGTTGAAATATGTCTTCCATGGACAGTTTTTGGATATTTCCAATGTACGTATTCCTCGTTTTGGGTGACCAATCAAACCACACATCTGCTAGAACCTGTAAATATTTGCTGTGGTCAGCCAGGACATACTCGTCGCTTACTCCAGCCACTGCGGACTGAAACTCTTCAACTTGATGATCATGTATGGCTTCAAACACGTGCCGGGTAAATTGGAGTTCAGTTAAATGAGTAGCACCGCTTTCCTTGGTAAAGGTGTTCTTTGCTGCCTTCATAATGTTGTTCATCGATTCCGAACAGTTGGTGTAACACCTTTTTGGCCTTCCGTTTTCCCCATCCATCAGACCAGCCTTTCTCCTTACATCGTCTACCATATGTCTCCTTATCATCTTTCTATTGTCATTCAGGTAAGACCAATACTTGGGGGCGTACTGCTCGTCTTTACCAAGGGTCAGTCGTTCTTGTTCCTCTACTTCATTTTGTGCGGATCTCAAACGTTTACGCAGGTCCTTGCCGTCTACTGCGTCAATGATCCCTTCTTCTTTCCCACGAACTCCAAACGTCTTCGCCAAAAAGTACTTCTGATCCTTTTCACTTTTTATGCCTAAGTCCCTCAATTTATTCTTGCAATTGTTCTCGAAGTGTTTGAAGCATCGGAGACTCTGCGAATGCTTCAACTGTTCTTGAAATGCATTTTGGAGGGCTGTTTCTCCGTCGGTAATAAAGCCTTTTGCATTAGTCAGACTACTGCATTTTCTGACGCACGTGGTGGCCAACATCTGATAGGTTGTCTCAGACTTACTGTGATGGATCATTGTTGGACCTAGGAAGATCGGATTTCCTCCTGTTCGCTTAGATTTGAGAAGAAGGTTTTTGAACACCACGGGGTTACTTCAAACTTGCCCAGACTGAATGTTGGGTCGACACTAAAAGGGTGACTCAAAATGTCAGAACTTGTGGACCTTTCTAATTCAGAGCACATGGAAGACGTCCCCAGCACCCACAGATCTTCAGGGACATCGGAATGGTGGAGTACAAGATCTTCCTTGTCGCGGGCATATTTTAAGAGATCACCGACATCATCATTACCTCGCTCACGGGCTTTCGACTTGGCATCGTAAACTTGATGTCTGCCGCGCGGTAGGTCGCATAGGGATATTGAGCCACAGATTCCACCTGAACTTTGACGGAGGTCGTCATATACTTGTCTTGAAGGTTTGCTTGAAGCGCCTTCCTGTAGTTCCCGTAATGAACTTTTTTTCATAGGCTGAAAAGGCTTTGGATTAGTTTTTCTACAGTTCCCATGTGTTTGGACATTAATCTTCACTTGCTCTTGGCCATTAGTAAGGTGATACTGCAAAAGACAAGCATCACCCACGATTCCACCCCCGGCGTTTTTCAAAAGAAAAAGTGAGCGCACAAGTGCTGGTTGGGCCTTATTTGCCTTTGAGTTAAGCACTAAATGAAACATTGTAGGCGAAGTCAAACGAATTTTCTTGCGGGAAACCACAGACCATAGGCCATCCTCAAGTTTCAAAGTCCAAATCCCACAACGTAGGACTCTATTGTAGACTCCGTTCATGTCAGCCTTAATATCTTCCCATGCGCTGAACCATTTTAAATCTATCAGGAATGACGCATTCTCGCGAACTTTTAGGGGTTGCTTAGAACACTTAAGAGCCTTGCTTTCTGTTAATATTCTGAGTGCTTCAGTAACGGTGTACCTTGTGGTTCGACTCTTCTCAAACATAGGGATTCTTTGATCATTGTTCCAACATTCATCCGTCTAAAAAGAAGGAATGATGAAAATGTTTATTTAATCAGTTGTTTGAAAGTTGAGTTTCGCGTTTTATATCAGATCACCAAAGAGCTAAAATCACTTTACACGGCTTTCGCAAGATTTGAAATCAGACATTTTTCCAGCAAACATCATCCACTACACTTTTATCGTTAACAACCAAGTTATCATTGCTATCACTTACATGATAATCATTTCCAGGAAGAGGAGCATCATCTACTCTGTCCTTGTCTTCGTTACCACCACTTGAAGTGTCTATTTCGTCGTCATCGACGTCTGAACTTTCTTCGGAATCATCCTTTGCTGTACAGTGTTGGAAGTCATTTCTTCCGCCGTGATAGTCATCAAAATGCCCAGTTTCGTGATTTTCACCATCGACCACATTTCCGTCCTTAATTATGGCTTTGATGCCACTACATGTATCTTTGACCACACCTCCATCACTATTTGCGCTTCTGTTTGAAATAGAGACATTTCCCTCCATGCATCCATTGCTCAACCTTCCACTTTGCATGAATTCCTCTGGTATTGTGTTAAGGTCCGTGTTCCCTATCTAAAAAACATTATTTGACTATATTAAAAAGGGAAATTGATCAAGTTTTGGCCATGGCAATTTTGTCATTTCACATGAGAAATTATAAATGAACGCTGAAATTTCGGGCCATTACGGATTAATTTGTCACCTATTATATTATGATCGATAACTACAATGTTCCTTAACTGCTTTTAAAAGTCTGAACTGCTGGAATGGCTGGTTTGACTTGGTTAGCTAGTCACAATCAACATCTTGATTACAAGACAGCAACTGCTGCGAGCATTAAGGGAGCCGCCGTATTGCATGATTCGTCTTTTCGTATTTTGCATCAAAGAATCAACTACAAGAATGTTTACGGTTTCAAAATATGAACTATTATAATACTGACCTCGCCATCGTCTTTCTCCTGGCTGTATGGAGAAATATCCATCACATGTCTGGAAGTTTTAGCCGGCTGGTGACCACTTTCAGTAAGTTTCTGTAACCGCGACAAAATTAACAAAAAATTAAAATGGATACAAATATTACAGGTAATTCAAATTTTGGTGTTCAATCAGTAAATTTGGAGATATCTTTCTATAACAACGTCTAAATTCACAATCAGTTACCTCATGTGATAAATCACTTTGTTCGTCTAAACATGCAGTCTCACATTTGGGGCGTTTTCTGCTAAAAGCTCTTCTCTTTTCTTCCTGAGGTTTACCGTAATGGACAGGAGTATTATTCTTTCTTTTCCTATTCTTGCGACTCTCCAAAAACTCACTTAACTTCTCGAAGATAGGTTCTTCCGCTATATGAACGTCTGGTTTCGATGCATTACTGCCAAAGAAACTTTTTCCCTCTTCGGGAATGATGCATTCACTTTCATTTCTTCGATCTAATGCCTCTGCACTTGGAGGATCTTCCGCCTTCGCTGGAGTGCAATTGTAACCAAGTGGAGGATCATGCAAGAAATGCCCACCTGCAACACACACACACACAAGAAAAAACAATTACCGAGTCAGAATTACCTCGTTTTAAAATATTCAAGGAAGATTAGAATAGGGAAAAAGTGACTGGAGCAAAACCGCAGAAAGAAAGAGAAACTTAAGCGAATATTAAGAAACCAAATGCAGTAGAAACATCGGCTGCTTGTCTTTCAACAAGGACCTCCTTGCTTTCGTTTTTCTGTTTATAGTTATTGCACTGATATCGATACAAGAAGGGAGAGATTGATTTTGGTGTGGTGTTTTTTTGCATCAGTTTGATGTGAAATTCTTTCAGCACAATTCTCCTTGACAAATCTCAGACCACCAGCTCAAGTTTGTGAACAGCAGACAAGCAAGAAATGACACTAGCCTGATGAAGGTCCCGTTAACCCGGCTGCGTTTCATCGCTAATACCCAGGATCCATGAAGTAACTGTAAAGATACTGCATTCTATAATAAACATCACTGTCGACGTAAGAACAAACAAAAATAGAGTCGAACGGTCCATTATGTCCCTATCCTGCCTATTGTAGATATTTATGAGGCAAGTTCAAAATTAATGTAAGTTGTTGATGGAAAAGAGAAGGGGATGCCTCCATTAGTGAAAACGGAACCAAATCAGTTACATACGGCTCTCTTCCTTGTCCCCTTGTTCTTGATCTGTGAGCTTAGTGGAGCTGCTCCTGCATGTCAAATAACAAAACAATATTCCGCATCCATATTTTGTCAGCGCAAATATGTAAGACCGTGTGGCAAGACATTTTTGCAGGTTCTAATGTTTGCGATTTTTGCTGTTTTTCCAGCAATCCACAAAAATAA